TGATTGCAGGTGGTTGTCATCCATTCCGACTTTTCGGTCACATGCTCCGGTAGTTTCATATTGTCAAAGATGCGGAAAATCACATTGAATAAATCCTTCCACCAATTTGGCTTGAAGCTATCGCCATGAGTCTTCACAATCTCAAAAAGAACGGTCAGACCACGTGTGCGTACATCCAACTTGCACCGATTTACAACACAGGACAGAGAGAAAAGCATGGGAAACCAACCGCGAACCCAAACACGGTCTTCCTCCGCCACAGAGGCGTCATTCTCCATGCCGGCATGCTCCGCAAACAGCTGGGGTGAATCATGTACACACTGAGCACAGTTTCGCACTAACCGTATGGCTTCCATGCTGGTGTCCGGGAAACGTGCATTGCACGCAAACTCAGACAGGCACTTAACGGCATCCTGAAAGGAGTCCACCATAACTGCGAATTGTCGTCGATAGAGGTCACCAATAATTTTTCCTGTTGTCTGGAATGCGAGCTCCACAATTGGTTCCTCATGATCGCCGGCAGCTAAATGAAATATAGAAAATATGTTCTTCCAGCCGGAACGTATATTGTGAGCCTGTGAAAAGAAAAAATGTTCACAACATACATATATATTGATTGTTCAACGGAATCAATTCATTCACTAACCTGCGAGTTGACCATTTGGGCAATACAACGTACAACCATGTCACGTATGGCCGGCGAGTTGTTCTTCTTCATGATGTGCTCGAAGGGACGCAGGAAGTCCTTTTGGAAACGAAAATTGCTAAATTCCCCCTTCTCCATGAACTTCATGGACAGCTGACGCAGTGAGTCTAAAGCAAAGAACGCAATCTCCTCGTTACTGTTACAGCCAACCGTATTGAAATGCTCGCCCAGCACCTGCCAGATGCGTGACCATTGCAATCGAATACGCTCCATATTATAGTAGCTGATTTCTACTATTTTTTGCAGTGAGAACATGCGTGGCTGCGTCTGCTGCAATTCATCGACAGAAACCTGACAAAGTGCTTTGACAAAGTCGACAATAGCATCGCCATCCAGGCGCATGGAGCCGGTAAATATACGATCCACTGCCACAACTACACTCTGACTGCTCGTCTCACCAATGTGCTCTTTGACACTGGGATTAAGCGTGTCCTTGAGCGTCGTCTGCGCACCGGAAAGGAATTGAGGTCGCACTCCCGTGCCAATCAGCTGTGCCAGCTCCAACTGGCTAATGCATTTGACTATGTCCAACCAACTACTGCCCAGATAATTGCCATCAGTGTGGGCAACCATGATGAGCGTTTTGATGGTATCAATATTCTTGGCCTTCATCTCATTGATGGGCGAATTGGCATTTAGCAGGGTGAAGCGCGCGAGCGCCTGAACATAGGCATCCCGTTCAAGGGACATGTGAAAGATGCACGCAATGCGTATGGCACATCGAATGCCATCCAAACAGAGGGTCGCTATTTCTGGATCGTCGCATACCTGCAAACCGACTGAGAAGGCAGCCAAAAAGGGAGTCCATGCCATTTTAAACATAGGACGAACATGCTCCAGATGCTTGGCCGATGTGAATGGCGACTTGACATGCGACACAGACTGCATTAGATTGGTTGCCGTCAGAGAGATGACCTCCATTTCCATATTCCATAGAAGTTTACGTCGCTTTTCCGTTATGAATGGCTGCTTGCCCGCAGGCTTAGGGGCCATCAACATGGTTGTATTGTTTTTCATTTTAATCTCATGCTCGGCGATCTCATCGTAGATAGATGACAAATACTCCTCGGGTAGATCATCTTTGCTGTCACTAATGCCACGATTCATTTTGATGTACTGTTCCTTGGTCATCTTGTGTTTAACTTGAGGCGAATGAAGATCTGTAGTCAACATTATAATGCTGAATGCCAGCACATAAACCGTGTCGGCGCTCTGGAAAAGCTGATTTTGGGGATTACATTCGCAGTATCTGCTCGCGAACTTCTCCATTAATCGATCGATCTTCTGTGCCTCACCGGGCAAACGGAACTCTTCAAGCAGAATGCGCAGAGCTGCAACCACTTCGAGCTGGCGAAAATCAAAGGCATCGATATACGCGCACATCACCTCCTTCGAGTGATCATCGTTTTCGCCCAGATAATTGCCAATGACGGTCTTATCGAGACGATCGTCATCGTGAAGCCAGCGTGCGATGTCTGTTGGACTACTGCCCAGCAGTTGCTTCTCTTGTAAAAATTGGACGCCCTTTTGTGGCTTACGGTTGAAAAGCTCAATGCCCGTCTCCATGACTTCCTTGCGCATCTTGCGCTCCTCTAAAGCTTCGGGCAAATCCAATAACTCCTGATTCTTGACACTGCCATATGAATTAAGGCTGTGACTCGAACCGCCATGTGTTGAGCGCAGGCTAGAATTGTGGGCGGAGAGCGCATCCACATTGTCACCCAATTGCGTCTCCTGCATGGTTGAAGTCGGCGACTGAATCGCCTGCACCTGCAATTAGAAGTTACCTCAACAAAATAAATATGTAAGCAAATGTAAATGTAGTTCACCTGTAGGGCGGGTGCTGGCATATTAGGATTGACATACAGATCCTTACTCCACTCAACCATGCACTTCAATATCGATACAAGGCACTCGAGGCCGCGCTTGCGCATTGATTTCTCTTGCATGGGACTAGCGCCCAACTCAAGGGCCTGGCGACCCTGCGCAATCTTTGATAGATCATTAACCAGACGCTCGAACAGGTTCGCTGCCGAGAAATCACAGTCGTAGTTCACATAGATATCCACCACGGATTGCGCATCCGCACAGATACGCGTCAACGCTTGAATGACCATCCATTTATGCTCAAAAGAACTCGAATTAGCTTCCAGTATATTCAAGAAGATTTCCTTGAAAAATACCTCTATCTGGCGCTTTAAATGCACCTTAAAATTTGAAAGTAGTGCCACAAATATAGAGAGCGACAATTCGAAGACCTCGGCCACCAGGCTAACCCCATTATTGGATAAGGCAACACATAGATATTGTTTTATGGCCATGACGAACATCTCGTTGGAGCGGAAGACGGGGCCGGCATTCTGTAATATGAGCAGCAACAAATGCAGAGACAACACCTTGGAGCGCAGTTCATGAGACTTAGGGTCGGGATGACCCTCGGGTAATGGTTTCATCGACAGCTTACACAAGGCCCGAAACACAAGAAACGCATCCTTTTGCAGAATGTGCGTGAATTTAGCCGTAACTATAGCATCGTTTTCGCTGTGCAACTCAACACTATCGTGATCAGAGTGCGAAGAATCAACGGAGCCGCTTCCATTCACAGATCCCTCAATTTCAGCCAGTTCCGAATCTGAGCTCTGTTCCTTCATTGCCTCATTGAAAGCAGCTAAAAGTATATGAAATCACAGATTATATTTTTATTTGCTCATTCCTAATACCCACACAACTTAAATATTATTCGCATTGTGGACTTTGGTTTTATATACATATATTTACATATTACATGTTAAATTACATGTACATTAGCTGTTAACTTCCGTATATGTTAGCTTGCAAATATTGCTTTTCTGTACGGCGGTTTTCAACATGGTCAACACTGGTGCATATTTGTGGCCTCTATCTTTATCGATAATTTACGATTACTGACTGATTCGCTTTCACCCACCTGTTATTATCTCAGAAAGCAATTCTGAGGCAATGGCTTCATCGCTATCCAATGATTCCGTTACTACCGTTGTTGTTGTCGTCGTCGTTGTCGTCAAATCCTCACCATTACCTTCCGGACTGCTTATGCTTCCATTGATTGATGTCGTCGTCGTCGTTGATGGTGGAGGCGGTACTTCATAGACTTGATTCTCCATTCGCGCAAAGATCACATTTAGCATCTGTGTGAGTGTGGCACGGGCCGTTGTCTGATTGACCAGGTTCCTGCTGGATAGGTAGATGTCATAACAGGTGCGCACAGCCTGCAGCAACGTGAATTCATGTATTTCAACATGCTGTGACGTCACAACGGTGAGTAGCGCCTTGATGATCTGCAGCTGAACGCCTTCATCCGTCTGCGGGCCATTAAAACAACCATAAATGGTGATGACAATACGATCGATGAGCAAATGTCCCGGATTTGCAGAATCTTGAATAGCGCCCGTCAGATGACCATAGGCAATCAGCTTTTGCAAACAGTCCAATGCTGTCACAACTATGCGCGGCGAACGACTCTTGCATGCTAGCTCGAAGGGCAGGAAATAGGTTTCCGCGTTGATAATGCTCGCCGCATCGTTTTTGGGAAGCGGCAACGCGGCGCATGGTAATTCATTTCCTTCGGCAATTTGGCCCGCATTGATGAGTTCCGCTTTGATCTGTTCGAGAGCTGTGTCACAAGATTTCTTGAGCTGAGAATGATGTGAACGCCGTATGTCCTTATCGGCAAGGATTTTCTCTAGAGCACGCACGATAAACATTTCCTTGGTTTTTGTGGAGTTATTTTGCATATTGTATGCAACTCCAAGGTCGTTTTGCAGTTATGTTTTTAATACCAGCCTCTTACTAATTACTTTCTACGTGCGTGCATGTGTCAGTATAAAGAACGACAGCGACTGCAACTTTCGCGCTGCCGCATCGGCGTGTGCTCCCCCGTATGTTATCGCTGCTGTCTAGATGACTCTCACTCGGCACCCGCAGTGTGTATGTGGTGTTACTTTATTGTTTTATGCGTTTGCATATTGCTGTTTCAATTTTTCACATCAAATATGCTTTAAAAATACAATTCGTGAAAAAACGTCATCAGTACTGCACAACATAGCCAGACTGTTAATATATATCGATTAATGTAACAGACTTGCAATCGATTAAATACTAAAAAATATAAATAGGTGCCAAAAAGGGTTAATAAATTAAATACAAACTTCTATTGACTTATTACAGGGTATACAACTTTTCACACAAACACGACAGAAACGCAAGTGATTACAATGATAAAAAATTTTCTAATATAAGTACATATATGTGCTAGTACTATAATTGCCACTCATCCCTTGTACAATCCGACAATAAAACCATGTTGCTCAATTGCTCGTCTAAGGATTTACCATCTTGTGCTACTACTTCTTCGCCGCCACTTGTAAATATTCGTGTCGGCGGTAAGGCCGATGCTGGTATATGCAAATACTTTTTGGCCAAACTGTGCAGAAAGGGATGAAACTGTACGAGATCCTTCCACAGCAACAGTGGCTCGGTCTGTAGGCTGCTAATACTAGAGCAGAAATAGCTCGATATCTCATCCATACTCTCAGTCTCATTCATATTGATGTGCTTGTGCTTCTCGTGTGAAAAGGCTCTATATGCTGCCCATATGTCGTAGTTGTCCGTGTTTGCTTCCTCATTCGATTCGACAGGCATCTCCCCGCCTTTCTCCTCGTAAAGCTCGTACAATTGTGTCATATATTTGGCAACCTGCGAAGGGTTTTGGAAGGGCATATTGCGGAAGCGTGGATCTAAAAGACTCGACAGCGCGAATTGCGTATTATTTTCCATGTCCTCGAAGCGTTCCTCCAAAAAACGGATAATAAATTGACGCAAATCATATACGATTTGATGATGCTGCTGCTCTGCACTCTCTGGCTGCTTCAGTTCGTTGAGAACAGTGTAGGCAATGGGTAATGCCTTACTGGCACTGGGATACCAGCCGATACTTGTGCCACACAATTGACGCACTGCATTAGCTAATGGAGCCAACAATGTAATCAGATCCGTAGCCAAATCTAACTCAGCGTCCGTCAATGCATCCGTTGCCAACAGTTTGTGCTGTTGTGTCGCTTGCTTAACATAGCGTTCCAGCATTTCATAGCTGCTCAAAGGCTTTCCAACTACATCTAACTTTTTCAATTGTTGGCCGTGACAGCGTCGCACCTTGTCGCAAAGAGCACTAAACTCGTGTCTTTGGACGACACACTCGATCAGCTCTTCCAGAAGATGGGCAAAGCAAGGCACGTGCCGTTGGCTACCCAGCAGCGTAGCTACCGCATTCTCCATCAATTGATCACTGCGGCTAACAATACAAACAATTTTCGATTTGTCTATATCGAATCGGTGGCAAATGCGTTCCAAACGTTCCACAATGTTATTCACATTATACTGCAATGGCAGCCTTTGCACAGATAGCGCTTTTGAACGACGATGCAGGCCCTCGTTGTAGTGAGATGCCACCTCTAGGTAACTCAATTGCTGGTCAGAATTTGAGATGATGGCGCAACTCAGCGACAGACTTTGTATGTGGGCAAATTGTTGTCGCAATTGGGCTATTTGAATCTGCGTTCTTTGGCCAATGTGCGCGGCGAGCTGCTCAGAGCTGGGTAAACGGAAGATAGGGCAGAGCACCTGGACCAAGCGCTTAAACCCCTCACCCTGTATAATATTTAGCGGCTGTTTGTCGCGGCACAGAAAGTATGCTAAACTGTTCATATAAACATTGTTACTGCAAATAGAGAACAGTCAGAAACATAAACAGTCAGCCGTATATTATAAACAATTGAATACTTGACCGACCTGGCTATCAAGTGATCCAATTCTGGATGAGTTTCGTCGTTGTGCATTTGGTTTGGCTCAAATTCTATAATGTCCTCTGCGCTTACGGTCTCCGCGGCGGACTCGGTCTCTGCTCCCGCCGTTGCCCAATTTGCATACGTTTCCTCATTCCCGACACTTTCGACCGCTGCATGTGCCTCCGCATTAACAAGTTCGATCAGGTTGACATCCATATCGTTATTACCTTGTTCTGCATCAACCACTTGCTGAGGCTCCGACTTAATTTGAATGGATGCATGCTTAGGTTGCTTTCGTCCGCGGCTCTTGATGGGATTTGGTTCACGTTTGAGGATGCCTCGTACTACAATCGAATCATGGTCATTGACATCGCTGTAAGCAAACGCTACTGAGTAGATGTACTCAAATATTCTGAGCTGTTGGCTTACATTTGTGGATGAGTCTTCATGTGTTTCATGAGGTTGGAGGTGTTGCCGCAGGTTTTTATTATCTTTTCGCAGAGTACACATTGTGCTGTTTGGAGATCTATTTTATCATAGTATTTCCAAATTTTACTACGCGCCATTATTGGTTGTCTATATTGTTTGGCATCGATTTCGGAATTTACAAATTGTATCGAAGCCCTAGCAATCAGTTCACTGAGGCAGCTCAATTTTGAACGTCCTAAAGAACCTCAGATTTTTATTGATTCAGTTCACTCCAGTTATCCGTTGCTCATATGACGTTCACATGAACTAACCACAAGTTCGCTCAATTGACCAACCATTATATTATCACTGACCAAAGAACACATAGACTAGACATGTAGTACCACTGACCAAATATGAAATTTGCCTCCTAGGGCCCATCAATTTCGTATTTGCTCGACTCTTCACTTTTAGGTTCGGGCTACGAAAATATACGAAAGCACAATCATTCCGCTTCATGCGCTCGACCGAGATGGTCAAATATTAAATAAAAGATGTCTGTGCTCAATTTTTGTTCTTGCTCTCTCGCTCTCTCTGCTCTCTGTTCTCTGAAATATGTACATATGTATATGTATGTATGCATGTGAGCACAAGCAGCAGCTCACTAAATCAGTGTTGCCGAAATTTTTTCAGCAAAAGTATCAAAACCGAGGGCTGAAAGTAGCCAACTTTTTTCTAAAATAGCTGAGAAAGTAGCAAAAATTAAAACAATGCTGTTTTTTTTTTCATAAAAAGTCAAAGTTATTAATTTAATTCTGTTAATATCTCATCATAGTTTTTATAATACCACTGACCACAAATAATAACGAAAACGCAAATATTTTGTACGAGGTTGGCGAACGGTTTGAAGAGTTCGGTATACTCTTCACACAGAAGGGAAGA